AATTGCCCAACAGCTGGAAACCTGGTGTCTGCCGATCCATTCAGTTATTTTTCTCAGAAAAATAGGATCTCAGGTCACCTACTAAGTATCATCTTGCAGTTTTTGAGATTGTCCATGAGGAAACTTGGAGCTGTACTTTGGATACCGCAGAAGTGCAGAGCCTGAGACACCTTCATCTCAGTGACCTCAGTTTGGTGGGAAACACACCACCCAACTCCAATGAGATACAGCTTGAGATCCCACAAGGAGAAAACTCCCAGTCAAAAGGAAGATGGGACACTTAGAAGAGTCCTGCAGCTCTGAGTGCTTTTTGTTGCATAACAGGAAAATTCTGCAGCGCCATGAAGAGCACAGAGATGCTGTTTATATCCCCTGCCTGGTTTCAGTGAGCTGTTTTGTACTAAATTTCCCTGCTGATCCATCTGCATTGTGATAGCAGGCGTCTGCTAACATCCATCACACATTATTGCATTTTTCCCTTCCACCTTCAGGTGTAAAGGGCACAATGCATCACTGTACAATAGGAGAGGAAGAAGACGCTGCCTAATTTCCCATGGGATGCAATATTTATCCTGTAAGTGCGGATTAACTGAATAACTTGCTAGATTTGTGTCAAGGCTTGTAAGAAGTGGTGACTAATCCTAGCTAGTGGGGATTAACAATGTTTGCTGTGGGAAATGTGCCAGACTTTTCAATTATATCATGTCTTACAAACAGACTGCAAGAGTTCTATGTGAATACAACTGTGTTCTTGCCCCAGCACAGTGATAAGAGGGGACGTTCTTCCTAGTTTTTTAATGCCACAGACTAGAGCAAGCAACATCACATGGATGGGCAGCAGTATGAGAGCCTGTTCTTCTCTTAGAGAAGGGCAAAAGGAGGAGAAGGATCGGATGCGCAGCCAGGAAGCCCCAGAGCTGCACTTTCAGAAGCTATGGTTGAGTGTGTATCACCTGTGCTACCCTCACGTGTCAAAACACACACAGTCACACACTTCCCAGAAGGAGGGAGCCCCAGAAGGCCAGGCATGGCAGCACTGAGAAGTGGTGTTGAAGACCCAGGCTCCAGGCAGCACACAAGGCCACTCCCACATCTGTGCTAAAAATCACAAGACTAAAGTCTTCATCATCAGTAAGGAAAAAAGCAGAAAGAAACCCAAGGGCTCCAATGGCAACACAAAAGCATCCCACTGTGTTCTTGCCCAGAAACACTTCCTCACGCAACTGTGTTGTGCAAAGGTGCAGCTCACTCTGTTTTTCATTTTGCTGCCTCTGCACAATGGGGAGACACAAAATTCCTCACAAGACAGGAAAGAGGTCTGAGGTATGACACACAAACCAAGTTGGAGAGATACAGCCCATCCTGACCACTCCAGCTCATTTCTACATACCAACAGCCAGACCAAGGGCTTGACTCAACACCAGTTTGGAACTTCCATTTTGTTTCAAAAACTTCTAGATATCATAGAATCACTGAATCAAGCAGGCTGCAAAAGACTCTGAGGTCATGGAGTCCACCATGTCAACCAGACCATGGCATTAAGTGCCATGTCCAGCCTTTCCTTAAACACCCCCAGGGAGAGTGACTCCACCACCTCCCTGGGCAGCCCATTCCAGTGCCCAATCACCCTTTCTGTGAAGAAATTCTTCCTAATGCCTAACCTAAACCTGCCCTGGTTCAGCTAAAGACTATGTCCTCTTGTCCTGTTGCTGGTTGCCTGGGAGAAGAAACCAACCTCTACCCATCTGCAGCCTCCTTTCAGGTAGTTGTAGGGAGTGACAAAGTGTCTCCAAACCTCCTCTTCTCCAGGCTAAACCCCGCCAACTTCCCCAGCTGCTCTTCATAAGACTGTTGTTCCAGACCCTTCACCAGCTCCCTGGCCCTTCTCTGGACCTGCTCCAGCACCTCAATGCCCTTTCTGAATTTGAGGGCCCAGAACCAGACACAGCACTCAAGGGGTGGCCTCACCAGTGCTGAACACAAGGGAAGAATCACTTCCCTAGTCCTGCTGGCCACGCTATTTCTTATACAGATATTTAGCAGACCAAAATAAATATAGAAGTAAAACAAACCACAGAGGCTCATCTTGTAAGTATTGCTCTGCCATTCTCTGACCACACAGAGTCCAATACCCAGGAACCAAAGTGTCTTCTGAGCCTGCATTCAGACTCACCCACGGGAGCTTTATGCTTTGTACAAGACAAAACCACCTTTCTGTGCTCCTCCTGGAGCTCTTGTAATGAGCTGTGCATTAACCTTGATTTCTCCCACAAGTATCAGTAGTTATTACTACTTACTAGTCTTCCAAGGTGCTTGGGAGTAACAACAGCACTGAGGTAATTAGAGGAAAAGGAACATCTACTTATGAGTAAGGTATACGCAGCTGAACAGAATGTTTTGCAATGGCATGACTGCCCAGTGACAGCTGTTCCAGCACACTGGAGATGGCCTAGTCATTCTTCAGACTGGTGACAGATTGTCCCCTGTGACTGCACCCACCTCCACAAGGACTTGGCTAGAAAAGCAGAAAAATGCATTACAAAACATCCCACAGTCAACTGACAAGGCCCTCCTGTGGCATCAAGGACTTTTAAATCCAGATTCTGCATCTAAACACAGAGAGGGGATTTGAAACTGGGTCTTGAGCCTCACCTAGCAATGCTTTTACCAGCTAACTGCAGGGAAGAGCACCACCACACATTCGTTTTTTAAATATTTCCATATGAAATATTTAATTTCCAATTTATTAGTTTAGCTGTAGTTTTTTGTCAAACAGAAACAAAAGCTGCAAGAAAAGGTGAGTTTAGGCCTCACACATGTTTTTTCTGGTTACTGTACATCGCTGGGTGCCAATGTGGCCAGACACCATCACCCCATTTTGCAGGCAAGAGGTGATAACAGCGAGACCGTACATGAAAAATATTGGGCTTTGCTTCTCCAGGTCCTTCAGCAAGATGTGGAACAGGAAACCTACTACCAGCCTCAAAGAAAGCTTTGGTCAACTCTAGGCAGCTGCTCCCACGGCATTTGAAAGTCCTGTCTCCACCTGCCCGCTCCTGGCTTCCCTGTACTGAGCATTATGATAATGAATCATCCACCAACCTCCTTCCTCGATTTATTTGCCAAAAAAAGATTTGTATGGGGTGGCAATTAAAGAGGTAGAATGTGATATTCATCAGCCTGTGTGCCTCTGAGCCTGACCACATCCTGGTGCAGCAGCTCCTCACAGTTGTTCAGACACTGTGGTAATGGGTGTTTGGACAAAAAATACAACAATTTCAACACCACCCAGTGAAGGAGAACTTGCCTTCTGTGCCACAGAGATGGACTCCACAGCTGTGCCCAGGAAGACAATAGGAAAAGCTGTCATGTACTAATTTCCCCAAAACATGCTTTAATGAATAAACTCATTAAGTCTACTAGCAGGCACTGTTTCCTATGCTGTGGGTCATAGGACACCAATAGCATGGACACTACATTGTACATCCGAGGGTCCCAAGCCCAGACACCATCAAAACGAGCAAGTACCAGAGTCAAGCAGGAGTCCCACACCATTCCAGCCAGCTGCACTAAGGAAGGCCATAAACAAAGCTGAGTCAGTCACTCATTTTCTTCTTCTCTGCAACTTTACCTTCCATGGCACACACAGAGTGAGGAGAGGACATGGCAGCCACCAACACCACTCTCTCTAAAACTGCAGGAAGCTTTACAACAAAGCTTTTCCTCCACTGGTGCCCACAGAGCTTCTGTCCCAGGACTCTTCAGCTCTGTGCCCAGACACTTCCCCAGCCTCTCAGGGAGCTGACAGTCTGTAACAGGAGAGACAACACCTATGGTCTCATAAAGAGGGAGTAGGAGAGGGAAATGGTGCTGCCTATGTGAAATCCAGACCCTCACAATAACAAGGGATTTGCCAAATGAGAACAGAGTTAAAGCAACTCCTGCCTGAGCTTTGCATCAGAGTGGTTTTTTCTCTGGCCCTCCATGGGGATGGTTCCTGAACTCAACCCACTCCTATGTACCTCCACAGACCCTGTGGGTTGTACCTGCCCTCACCTCCACTGGGTAACCCTCATCCTTCCTAACAGTTTCCCACAGTATTTAATATTTAATGACAGCTTGAGGTTTTCCTTACAAGCATCCCCATCCAGGCACCATTACAGCTTGCAACCCTTGTACCCAGTTCTGGCACACTGGTGCACTCCTAACACCACAGAAATAACACCATGGTCACTGTGCTTGTCACCAGACTTTCAAGCAGCAAGTGACTTACACGATCTGGCTTTTGTGGATCTGAATTACAAACCTTCCCTGGGACTCTGCTGAACTTGCCACAGTTATTACACCATCAAATGCAAGAGGTGAGAGAAGAAAGAGGAGCTGGAGCTTCCTCAGAGAAAGGGGAAGAAACTATATGGGCTGGACAGTTCCATTTCCCAGTTTTTTGATCAACTTTCAGAGGTTGATCAAATAGAAGATTGTAATGAAAATGTTAGAGTGGATAAAGGTTATATATAGATATAAACTGTATGCATCAGGTATTCAGTAGGCATACTATATAAAAATATTTTAAATAATTTTGTGCTAAGCACCATATTGTCCTGGAAGTAACAACAACAAAAAAGAATATGTTCATATTTTTTGTTTAGCTCGCTTCCTTATGTAAGGTTCATACTTTCTTCTAAAACAGTGGCAAGAGAGTTGTGAAATACAAATAGCTTCTCTTTTTACTCTTCATCATTATGTTCAATATTGACTGCTCCCACTCACTCAGATTAGCTATATTTTGTAAACAGCAAATGCACTTTAAAAGTGCAGATTTTTTCCAAGGCTTTCTCAATTCTCCAGACGTAAAACTTTGCATTGATCTATTAAAATCACTCTTTCATTTACATAACTTCTAACAGGCTGTACCCTTTCCCATGGCATTGACCATGGTCTCTAACCTGTACTTTTCCCCACTGTTGCAAAACTACAAACCCCAGACCTACTACACCACATTTTTGACCGAGTTTTGTTTGACGATATTTCTCTTGTGATGACACAAACGTTCTGGAAAACATTCCCTAAACCTTGGCTCTTTTCTCACTTTCCATGCTTGATGTTCTAACTGTCCTGACACTTCTTGTCCAGAAAGGTAAGAGTGCAAAACTGGTGAATATTCCTAAGGGGTTGGTTGCACACTTGCCTTTCTAGTATTTAGATGAACATTTCAGCAATAGATATTGTTTAAAAGTCTAGTTCTGTACAGTATAAACATTACCTAAAAGTATTTTTGTAAAAATTCTGTATGAAATATTTGCGTCTTTCAGGTCCTCCTTCAACACTCAATTTCTCAAAGTACTGATTCTGAGTATGTTCTAGTACAAAACCTCTTTGCTGCTTCTACTCAGCCACAATCATCATCATCATCACTGGAGTGTTCAACTTCTGAGGCAAGAACTGAATACTGTTTTTCAGCACTAGAATGGTTAACAGCTGGCACGATATTTTTAAGTTAGCTATGTCAATTATTATGTCAATATTTCAACTTTTCCACTGGCTTGGGAGTTTAGTGCTGCTTTTGTTGCTTTTCCATTCTAATGTTCTGAACCCTCTTGAGCAACATCCCTCTGCCTCCACTCTCACATTTTCCCCTTTGTTCAGCTTTTTAAGAAACCACTTGCACTTGTATTGTGAGTGTAATCTATGGCAGAAATATTAGCTGTAGATTTTATAGCTGTATAAAATCTGGTATAAATATCACAACTCAGTCTTAATCACCAAATTTTTCAATATACCTCCAGTGTCAATGATTACACTATTTTAAATATGAAAAGGTCAGTTGTGGTACAGCATTTTCTCATTTGGAGAGATTTTCTTGGACTACAGATGCTTTGGAGAAATTAGTATCTGAAACCCGGACTGTCCACCTGGAATGTTTCTTAATTACAACAAAGAACAGGCTGTTTCTGTCAGCTCAGACTAGGAAGAATGGAGTTGCTCCCTTCATCATTGCTTTGATAAACAGATGGCCTGTGGCCACTTCTCCAGTGTGGAGCATATCATGGCTGGGAATGGAGCTGGTTCAATGCAGGAACTGCCTTCTTGTCACCTCCATGGCAGAAACGAGCTACAGGCAACAGGTTGGCCCTGACTCCAGTGCTAGGAATTGGCACCTTCAGAGCAGGAGATGTCAGGAAAAAGACTCTTTGTACTGGAGTTGATGCTTCTCCATTGCATTACCACAGTATAAAGGTGTAAAATGGTGCTGATTCTGTCACATCTTCACTCTTCTTTCATTCTGATCCAGTGTTGAGCCTCTCACTACAAGAAACACATTGAGGTGCTGGAGCATGTCCAGAGAAGAGCAACAAAGCTGGTGAAGGGTCTAAAGAACAAGTCCTGCAAGGAGTGATGAAGGAGCTGTGGGTGTGTAACCTGGAGAAAAGGAGGGTTGGGGGACCTTATCAACCTCTACAACTACCCGACAGTAGCCAGGTGGGGGTCAGCCTCTTCTCCCAGGTAACAAGAGACAGGACAAGAGAGAATGGCATCAAGTATTACATACCTGCAGCTGCTTTCTTTGTTAACATCACTGCACAGGTTAAGTATCTAAAACATCTTGGATCATGTTTCCTTACAGACACCATCTTAGTGAAGTGACAACAAACAGTGTAAGGACATTCCTAAAGGTATCAGAAGTACCCAGCTGAAAAAAATTCCTGAATGAGGCACTGGAATAATGGATAATGTTTACACAATGGATGTACTAAGGATGTTCTTCCTATAATGGCAACTTTCAAGCAAAAGGAGTATGTCAAAATGTCAAAAATTTTGGAGACTACAGCTCTAAGGAATAAGATTTCAACAACTGTCTTGGTTATTTAAGGACATTTTTCATAAGTTTGCACCGAAACCACGTGTCCACACTTCTTTCTAAGATGACACCCCCTTCAGAGAAGGCATGGAGATTACTCAGAGGCAGGTCCTGACCAGTATAACTGTGCACAAGCAAGAAAAGGGGATGGAGGGAGAGTCATCTGGCTGCTTTTTGGATGGGGAAGCATCACTTTGGTAGCCTTAGAAACAAAAACCATAAGCACAGCTGGCAACCACCTGGCCCCAGGCTATGCCTTGCCCTTCTCAGAGCACAGCAGGAGAGGATGTGGGCAGTGTTGAACAGAGATCCCACAGGAGAACCTGAGCTCTGCAGGAAGTGGTGTCTGACTCAACAGCGAGGCAGCAGAGCTCAGGGCACTGCACTAGTTCAGGGACTAGGGCTTGAATGTGATTTAACACATACAGCCCAGACTAGAGTCATCATCAAAGACTTTGTGGCTGCTCTTGGGAAAAGGCCTATTCCCAGTGACTTGGTGACAGGCAAAGAGCTGCTGTTTGTACTTCCAGAGCTTAGTCACTTTGGAAGTTTAAGCAAGAAGCAAGCATTCTTCAATTCCTGTCCTGATAAACCAAGTGATGCTGTTCTGAATGGTTTCTCAGCACTGCCTCGGGGAACACCATTCCAGTAGAGATAAAGCTTATGTGCATATCATTTCTTCAGTGACCCCTTTGGATAAGAAGTGCTATTTAAGTGTAAGATCTTATCTGTGCAAATCTTATCTGCCACCAATATATTGGCTTTGTATCAGTCTTTGCCCAAGATCATGCCAACTCTCCCAGCCTTTTTTCCTCTGTTATGCCCTGTTCCAGAGGAATATAGCAGGAGGCTCATACTACTTAGCTTACCAACTATAGGCCAGGTAAATAGCTGGGTGCTTCATTTTTCCCTCATTAGGTGGGACTGTCTACACAAAGCAGTTGTGGGATAGAAAAGGACACCTCCTGTGCACAAGCACAATGTAAGTCTTGGACCAAAAATTAATTTATTCTGGGTGTTTGATCTGAGATATCACACAGGACCTCTTTTTCTGATATTAGGTCATTCTGCTTCCTGAAGACCAGTATCCTCCTGGACAACAGAAAATGGACTCACTCAAGCTCATTAACCCCTTCCCTGACCTCTAAGCCCCCACTGTCACCAGCTATGTACCCTGATGCCTCCAAACCCAAGGTAGCTTCACTGTTGTGCTGACCAGCTTTTCTTCATGAAACATTCCAGCAAGCACATAACTCCCAGTCTGGGTAGCTTGGTTACAAGTTTTGATCTGATTTTAAAAGAACCACCTTCAAGCAGGAGAGAAAAGTGGCTGTTCTCTCTTACAGGGATGGGTGGTGGGGGAAGGAGGGAAGGGTAAAGACCTCAAAGAATTCCTATAAGTGACAGATTTCACCCATATCTTCAGCCTTTAAAAATTCTGTTCAAGGGAGAAATACTACAGCCAGCGTGTCCAAAAAACTTTACTTCTATGAAAGCCAGTCAAGTCCAACCAAAATATCTCTTTCAACTTCAGTTGTGGTTGGATTGGGCCCTTAAACTGAGCAAGGCAGCAGGCACCAGCAGAACAAACTAAGATGTTATTGTTGCTGAGTTGTAAGGAGATTTAATGATTTGGAAGAGCATTATTGTTAACAGCTTAGTTATACTGTAATAACCACCAAAAAGACATTTACACAAATTTCCTGCACACTAATACTGATCATAACAGCCTTTAGATCATGGTCCTATTTCCTGTAACCATATATAAATGCATATAGAAGACCACTGTCATGATTCAGTGACTGTTCAGTGACAAAGTGATTAGGTAAGTACTGATTTTTCAGAAGAATCCAATGACAAACAAGGCCAAATGCCAAGTATTTAGGAAATATGGGTATTTAGAAATAAGATTACAACATCCATGTCAGAAATATCTAGAGTTGGAAAAGAATCAGGTAAATTGCAACATCAGTTCTACCAAGTAACCCTTCCTCTCCAAAGCCACTTTGATGTTCTAGTCAAATATTTCTGACTCCAGATCAAACCCAGTTCTGGTTTTGCCACAAGCATTTTTAAAAAGAATTTGTCAAGGACTTGGGGTTTTGCTTCTGTAGACCAGTAATCAGGTTGTCAAAATAACCACCACCACACCTATGGAGCAGGGAGCACATGTTTTTTCCTATCAGTGTCAGAAAAAGTGAATTAGTGCTTAAACTACATATACATATTCTCATAACTGTGGGTTCCTGGTACCTGTGTGTGCTTTCAAGCACCCACATCAGTCAACACAGCAAGTTCCTACGTCTATGGCTCAGAAAGAATTGATTTGCACTAGGAAAAAAAGGACTGTGGCAGTCTTCCAACTGGAAAAGGAGTTGCTGCCTTCTCAAAGACATCCTCTCAACTTTCCTGGCAAAGTCTTTCCATGAGTAGAGCTTTCTCCATTGGATCCTACCAAAAGAAAGGTACTAAAAATGTGGAACTTACACACCAATCTCCAAAGGATAACACTGTCTCATGAGGGATACATGGCACATATAGCTTGGGTTTCTCTTTTTCCTGGAACAACGAGGTCAGGAGTATTGTATACATTCACTCTGATCTCCTCAAGGAGCACAGCTCAGGAGAAGACCTTGCTTCAACAGGTGGGTCTGACCATCCGAGTCTGGATGCTTGCAGACTATGGTGCCTTGCAATTGTAGCAGGGCATCACAGAACAAAACTTGCATCAATTTTGCCATTAAATGGCAACACCCAATGTCTGAACACCTTAAAGGCTGTGGGGAGCTCAAGGAACTGGAACTCTGCTTCTGTGAGGGGTAGAAATCCACCGGGAATGTTTCATTTCCAGGAGGTTAATGTTTCTGACACAGCAGAATTGCCTGGACTGGTTGAAAGTTAAGAGACAAATTGATTGTTTAAATTACAGGGACAGAATGGGAGAAAAGGGGCCTGTAAAAAGCAAGTGTTTGCTGTGCTTGGAAGACAGGATACAGCACTGGGGGGTTACCACAGTGCCTCATGCAGTCAGGTCTAGTATTTCCAGAGTATATCAGCATTATCCCACTGGGATGTCCTCATCTTGAGATCATACGTTGCAGCGTGTGACAGCCTACTCATGGATCCTCTGCAGCATGTCTCAGGCTCTGCTATGGAAAACCAAGGCCTTATAAAGGAGAAGAGAACTAATGACACTTTTCCAGTTCTCCTACGCTGTCACAGATAGTCCATTTGCAGAGCATTTGTCACAGGTGAGTTGACCATCTCCTGCAGCACATCTCGTGTCACTCACCCTGAAGGACAGGCAGAAGAATCAGAAGATAATGACTGTGTGTGAAAGGGTACAAAACACCAGGGTCAAGAAGGAAAGAGGAGGGGCTGAGGAGCTGGGATTCATAGCTAAGGGCTCTGCTTATGCCATGGATTCACTCCAGGGCCTTGGAAAATGTACTTCGCTCCTGTCTGCGAGTAAAGTCAGGTAGAAGTCTCCATACGACCTGTGACAGAAACAAAGCACTTAAAGGAAAGCCAGGGAGACAGAAGACACTGTGGCTGCTTCACAAACAAGCCAATACCATTTCCAAGCTACAGAGAACCTCAGATGAATGGAGTTCTATCTCTGTTTACATTTCATTATTTCATTTGGTCCTAAGCAGGAAGCATAAATAACTTTATGGCAACGTATCAAATAGGACAAGATAGTCAAACCATTTCCCTCTCCAAGCCTCCTAACTGTGTTCCAGGATGTCTCTAACCACCATTCCCATCCTCCAAAGTGGATTCTGGGGTGGTGACAGAATGTAGGTGGAACAGAAATTCCTCTGAGAGAAGAGAGGAGTCACAGGCCTCATGGGACATCTCTCAGAGGTGCCTCATTAATCACGGACTACTTTAAATGTAAATACTTTCTGTCTCTCAGCACCTTTTTCTGGTAAAATATATTGATGGTATAAACTGTTACAGCAATGCAGCAGGAAGCAGAACACATGCTGCAAACCACTGATGTGAAATATAGTCCACTGGATGCAGGGCAGACTCTTCTTCATGGGGAAGCAAGGCACATCCTTACCAAGGAAAGCTGGCCTAGGCCAGGTGAGACTGGAAGAGAAGGTCACATCCTGGCTGTGGAATGGGAAGGCAGACAAGGACTTTCTGCAGACCAGGACTGAGGAGGGAGACTGAGAGGTCAGGAAAAGCAGCATGACCAGGGTAATGGTGGTGTTCCCAGAACAGCCTGTTGCACAGCTTCCAAGCACAGTTTCAGTGCAGTCCTCAGCACAACACAACCTCACCCTTCATCTCAGACTCTTCTTCCTCTTTCCCTCTCTGCCCACGGCGCAGTGGGCAGCACTGCCTGGGAACTGCCAGGGAGAAGCAAGAGAAATAATCCAAGCACCTTCCCAGGCTGCTTGGTCTGAGCAAGGAACTGTCTTCTTTTAGGATCAAACAGGGGTTCCAGCTGTCCCCCATGAAAAAGGGGACAAGCTCTGTCCGTGTCAGGTACAACGACCTCATCTTTCTCCTCATGCAGGACCTCTCACTCCCTGCATGAGGAGAGTTCTCTCTAGTCAGCAGAAGGGCAGAACCTGAGGAGGTGGATTCAGCACTGTGGACAAAGGGAGAACACGCCCCCATCACAGTTAAGTGCTGAAGACCAGGTGATGGGAGCGCACCAAAAAGAGGTTTCTGCTCCTTTCTCCCTCAGAGAGGGACAGTGAAACTGAGCAAGACACTGGTGGCCTTATTTGACTGCAGGGAGCTCCTGCTTAAAATAGCTGTTCTAGTGCTGCCACAAAGCATTTTCTTCATAAAATACTGGGCAGAAGTAGATGCTAGCAAAACTGAGGAGAGAAAGAAGCACAGAGAAGCACTTAAAGGCTCTGATAAGTTTCTAGTGAGAAGCAGCACTCTCTCTTACTAAACCAAGTTCAATCTGCCAAAATCTTCTGTTGTTCTGCTCCTTTAAATGGATAAATTGTGAAAATCTGTAATCACAGAACATTGATTTAGGAGATGGAGTTAAACGAGACTTTCCTGACCCAATCTGGTCCAGAGCAGGGTACTTTGTTGGGTAAAGGCAGGAGGTCCCTGACCAGCCTGTGGGGCTCAGCAGCACGTTCCCCAAGCTGAGGGGAGCACAGCACAGCTGTGTCCTACCCATGCTCAGAGTATGCATTGGGATGAGAGAGGTTTATTAATATTGTCACATGAAACAAACTGTATGAAATTATTGAGACAACCAAGAGAGTCCAGTCCTGACATGCTCTTTAGTTCCGAAACCAATATTTATCTCTGTATGACAGAAAGAGGAAAGATTGGTGGAGTGTAATAAAAGGGAAATGAAGGTTCAGGACAAATTCCATTTCCCTGCTGTAGACCAGTTACAGCCAAGATCCCAACAGCTTGGAGAGTATGCAAGGAAAAGTGGAGAAAAATAATAGACATAACACAGGAAGTTCTGAGCATGTCATTCTGTTTTCAGCTACTCAAAAAGAGATGAAAATAACTCTGTTTTCCACATCCTGCTGTGTTATACTGTTGACAAAGCCTCTCTTACTTGCTTTAACAATAAGCCACGGTATCACCAACCCCTTGTAATCCCTCTGTCGATGCCCTCACTCAGGATGGGCCATCTGGGAGGACTATCAGAAGCCCAGCAGCAGAAAATGAACAAGATACATTTGCAATCCTTT